GCTGATGTTTCTTATTCTTGTTGATATGGTTGTAAGACTAATCAATAAAGTTAAAGCAAGCACTAGTCTATTAAGTTGCACTGTGCTGTGATTTACCATTGTAATAAGGAACAATATGATTCATTAAGAACAACTTTCTATGTTAATATAAATATTATACAAAAGATTATCCTTGTCCTGATTGCATGGAATTACATGACTCATTAATAACAGCATCTTTGCAAATATTTGCGATATACAAATTTGCAATATGTGTAATATACAGATGCTGAGGGATGGGTGTAAAAATCACTGACATATAAGCCAGAAGTGCAAAACTATATGCAGCTCTTCAGCATCCTTTTTATGTCCTTCCTCCTACAAAGTATTCTAAAGTGGTTAATGTCAAAGAATTTGGCTTTTTTATAGGGTTTTCTTTGAGGGGGGAAGTTAAGAGGCAATCTGAGTACCTTCTGGTTTGCAAAGAGACAGGGTGGTATATTAGATGAGTACTAACAATCTTACCCATGGAAACCCACTGGATAACTCTGGACCAGTGACTCTTTCTCTCAGCCCAATCTACTTTACACGGCTATTGTGAGGAAAATCAAATGAATGAGTGGTCTGAATATTACCTGGGCAGGCTGGATGTAAACTAATTAAATAATGAAATTTATACTGTGTCAACCCAGCTATTGTAGTTTATCCAACAAGCTTCTATTAACAAACCATGACATTTTGTATTTGCTAACAGAAGTCCTGAATAATTCCTACAGATTCCAATGACAATAATAAAAAAGACTTACAGTAAAGGTGTAGATTTAAGATCTAAGAATACCTTACAAATAAGCTCCAAAGTTTTTATAAAACATTTACCTTTTAAAATAAGTTTTTACTCCTCAAAATACAACCTGAGGGAACATAAAAGCTATGTTTTTTCTAATTTCTGTTCTAAATACTCTATTCCAATAAGCTTTTTGGAACATCGCTTAATTTCAGTCAGATAGAAACTGGTATCTTAGATTCATCCTTTTAACTGTACTTCATGTAAATACGTACTGTATTCCATGGAAATACAGCCCATGTTAGAGTTCCATCTGGTGGGAATTGCACAGTCTATCTGCAAACTGCCCCCTTTCTTCTCCATGAAATTGTAATTGGACAAGATGTTAAGAGCTTTTATTTAAAATTTAAAACTAAATATGAACTCACAAAAAAATGGTGTGGGGCATTTCCATCCTCTCAGTTAGGGATGTAACCAATCTCAGTAAGAGGAAAGGCAAGGAAAGGAGAAAAAGAATGTTTTCTTTTCCCACTTGAGATCATCATGGAGAAAATCTATCTATATGGTTGTTAGGAGTTGAAAATGACTTGATGGCACATAATCAACCAATTAATCAGACCTTTCCTAGAAACTGGGGTAGATGTTAGGCACAGGAAAAGAAAGTAACAAAATTGTATTTGTTTATTCTTACAGGATACATGATCTACATTTTATTATTTTTATGCATTTCTAGGGTTGCCAAATCTGGACTGCAAGAATCTGGATGGCCACTAGATGGCACAAAGCAATACAGACTTTTTTGTCATGTAGCCCAGTTGTAGCAGCCTATGTACTTGATAATAACATCTACTGAAGTCCTACTCAGAAAATATTTATTTCTTTAGACACCAAAAACTGAAGAAAGTGTCAGATTCATTTGATTCTCCCTTTAGTGTAATCTTATCAAATTAAAACTTATTTACTCAATGTGTTCTACATAGTGCTCCCTTCTATTTTTTCACATAGCAACAGCCCTGTGAGGGAGACTGAGCTGGGTGAGTGACTATCCCAAAGACACCGAGGAAACTGTTATGGCTGAAGGTAGACTAGGTCATGCTGCCCCAACCGCCAGTCCAACATATTAATCATACTGGCTCTCCAGAGTTCAGTTATGCTCAAAAATTCACATAATTCAATTATGTGTGAAGCGCTTTCCAGAGCACAAAAAAATACACAACTTCATAGACTATTTCAAAACAAAATGGCAAAGAAAGCAAAATAGGCTGAAATAAATACAAAGCTGGAAAAAAAAGACTGAAACTGAAATTACTGATTTTGATATTTTAGATGGACACTTATGCTTCAGAATTTGGGGCTTAAATTATTCTAGTCCTGGACCAGCTTTCAGTCTCCTCTACAGAGCTTTCCAACTAATGAGTAATTAACCAAAATAATTCTGTTTATTGCCGTTTTCTATTTTGTACAGGAAGCAGTTTCATGCTTTAGATTAGCCTTCTCCAACACGTGTTCCTCAAGCTTTTTGGACTACAACTCTCATTAGTTTTGCCCTCTATGGCCAAAAGCCAACAATTGTAGACATTGTAAATGAAAATACCTAAAGGAACCAAGGTTGGAAAATCTAATCTAGCACTAGGTGGCAAAAAAGAGATAGAGAAATTTTACTCTTTGCACCATCCATGCCCTAGTTGTTTGAACTTTGGCAATTCAGATATAGTAGTTCTAAAATTCATGGCAGCCAAATTACACACTCTTTCTCTCTCTCTCTCTCTACACACACACACACTTTAAGAGATTAAGAAACAATTTATAGTTAGGCATAACTAAAGTTCTCTCTTAAGGAAGACAGAAGTTAAGTATTGGGAAAATGTGATACTGGGCATGGGAACTTTTAATTATGTGCAAATTAAGTGTTTTATCACTATATACTTTAAAAATTAATTAGCATAGAAGGATATGTTAAGTTTTTTTTTTTAAACAAGTTTACAAAGTGAGCGAAGCAAGGTATCTGGGCAGCTGACTGAGGTAAGAAAAAATAGTCATTTAGTGGAAGTTTATTTCCTCTTCTTTGGTTTCAAGCAGAAAGGTGAGCAGCTCTCTCACCACAGGTCTTGGCTTACTGGGTATGGTAGTGCTATCTACTGATCTACTGATTGAGTTCCCTTGACAGATCACTGTTGATTCTGGTTCACAGACTCAAAATTGGAAGGAGTGATTTAGGCCATCAACTCCAGTTCCTTGCTTAGTGCAAGAAAGCAAAACAAAGCATCCCTGTCTGTTGACTAGCCTCCAGTTAAAGACACATTTCTAAATAGGTTCCACTGTCAAACTTCCCTTATCAATATGAAGTTATTTGTTTAACATGTAAACTGGGATCTGTCCTCCTGTAATTTGACACCATTATCCCAAGCAACTATTTGGAGAGAACCTGGAAAAATAACTGCCTTGTCTCTTTCTGGAAGGACCAGGACTGATGACGTTCTGCTCAACTGGAGTTCTCTGCAAAAACTGATTATCTGGTCCCTGGCTGTAAAAGGAGTGCTACCCTGTAAAAGGAGTACTACCTTGGATCAGCTTAGCCTCAGCACCAATTTGAAGAGAAACTATCCCAAATGGTATCTGGCCCCATGTAAGCAGCCTAGCACATGCTGGATTTCGTCCTGTTTGATTGGAGCTAGTGTTCTGAAAAACAAAGGCGCTGAAGCACTGCAGCGGATAAAGCAGTTATGAGCAAGAAAGCACATCCTGATTCTCTTTCAAGTGCACTGGCAAGGCTGGGGCAAGGCAAAGGGCCATCTGCTATTGCTGTATTAACAACAAGCATCTTATTCTGCAGGATCCAGGTACAAATGACTGCTTCTTCAAATCAAAGTGCTAGATGTGGCTCATATAACAGATAAACGATGTGCTTGAAAACTGGCTGTCAGAGCAGACAGACTTCATTCTGGTTTTCATAGTTATGGTCAGTTAGTGGAGCCATAGTTATGAACAATGCAGCCTATCAAACACAGTTTGTTAGCATCAGCTGTACTATCCCCAAACCAACTGTGCAGGATCACCTTGGCATCTAATGACTATCATCAGCACTCTTAAAGACACGTCATAATTGCTGCAAAGTTCCATTGAAGGGGGGGGGGGAGGAGATGGATGCTTACTCAACATCAGCCTGCCTCAACATTCAAGCACTCAGGATACCCTCACCTGTGGAGCTCCATTTATCTCCTGTTCAGATAGCTGCATGATATGGCAAGGCAACTGGACACGTATTTCCACAACACCTAGGAGACTCATGGCTGAGGC